ATATTTAAAACCGAAGATTTTGTGTTGTTTTTTTCTTGCTCCTTTTTTAAAAACTCTACACATTGTAAACAATATGTCGGCCCTGACTGTGAATAACACGCTGTTATTAATTGTGATGGCACTGTGAAGAAAATGAAAATATAAAAATATTAAAAAAAAACAAAGATTTCAAAAAAATATAAACTCAAATCAACATAAATCGTAACATATGAAGTAGTTTAAAAAAAAAGATTTTCCAATATCAAAAATTAACCGATTAATTGAAACAGACTGCAAGTAATTTTTGTTTTGCACCAGTCTCAAAACAAAAAAGAAATGAAAAAATTTTATTAAAATTTCCTTAATGCGCCCCTATGTATTTTAATTTATGATAAAGTACCTACCTTTTGACCGCTTTTAATAAATTTGAATACGCAACAGGTAAACGGGAGACAACACACAAACTTAATGAAGTTAACACCTCAAAGTCAGAAACACAACTAAAAATTTTCAAGTCGATATTTTCACGTTGCATAGTACACTGCGTTTCGCATGGAAGTGGAAACCAAATTTCGTCTACTGCGCCGTGGTCAAGAGTGTTTGCACGGACTATAATACATGGTAGTAACCAAATATCCAAGAAAGATATAATAAAGAACTATCAAATGCAAGCTTAGAAGTGGCAAGTGCTAACAGAAAACGAAAATCCAAAATAAATGTAGAATCACAAAACATGCTGAAACATCTTCTGATACAAAACAAAAGAGACACTGCAGAATTTAAGGAACTTTATCGAGTAATAAAAAAACAGATAACAGAGGACATTAAAAAACATCAAGAAGACCGTATAGAACAAATCATAGAGAAAAACCAAAGTCTCAAAAATACCAAACCGAAACTAGGAAAGAAAAACATAATAACCTGTAAAAATGAACAAGGACAACTAGAAAAAAGTAAATCTGATATTGCAAACTCAATTGAAAAGTTCTACGCCGATCTGTACCGTTCCAGAATCCCCTAACTCCTCAAAGCCGAACTTGAAAAGGCAGATAACAAATGTAAACTCAGAAGTAATGCCCGAAATAAGCCACGAAAAAATAGAAAGATCAGTAAAAGAAATAAAAAGGAATCAAGCTCCTGGAAGCGATGGAATTTTAGCAGAAATGCTAAAAGAAGGCGAAGAAGAAACCATCACACATCTCAAAATATAAAGATACCCGAACAATGGAATACTGCTAAAACAATACTAATACACAAAAAGGGAGACAGCACAGACCTGAAAAATTATCGACCAATTTCACTTCGTTCACAACTTTACAAAACCTTTACAAAAATTATTACAAACAATTAAATTTGACGGATATCAACCAGTAAAACAAGCCGGATTTGGAAAAGAGTACAGCACCTGTGACCATCTCTACACGGTAAAAATCCTAATAGAAAAGACTAAGGAATACAATGTCCCATTATGTCTGACTTTTATAGATTATGAAAAAGCTGTTGATAGCGTAAAACTGTAGGCAATAGAAGAAGTATTAGTCAACAACCGGATCGACTCCTGGTACAGAATACTAATACATAATATTTACGAACAAGCTGAAATGATAGTGACATTGGGTAATGGAATCGAAACAAGACCAGTAAAAATCAATCGAGGAGTAAGACAAGGAGACACAATATATCAAAATTATTTACAGCTGCCCTAGAAGATATCTTTAAGTCAATAGACTGGGAAAATAAAGGAATCCCTATTAACGGAAGATACTTGAACCTTCTTAGATACGCAGATGATGTAGTACTAAATACGATGATTGAGGAACTACACACAAAATCCCTAAAAAAAGGACTAAAAATGAATTTCAGTAAAACTAAACTAATGTCAAACAAAGATGACAAACCTATGATAGACATCCAAGGGACCGACATAGAACAAGTAGATGAATATACGTATCTGGGTCAAAATGTCAAAGTAAGCAAAGAAAATCAGACTACCGAAATAAGCAGACGTGTAAAAATGGGATGGACAGCATTCGGAAGACTCTCATACGTACTTAAAAATCAAAATATACCTCAAAGAATGCGAACCAAAGTGTTTAATTTCTTTATCCTATCTGTGCTTACATATGAATCTCAAACCTGGACATTCACTAAAATAAACATGGAGAAGATCAGAAAAACTCAGAGAACTACGGAACGACAGATGCTGGGTATTTCACTCAAAGACCATAAAATCATGAAGAAATTCGTAATAAAACAAAAGTAAAAGATGCTGTCGAACAGGTAGCTAAACTGAAATGGAAATGGGCTGGACATAACGAACGTTTTACGGATCGCCGATGGAATAAAGTAATCGGGAATCGGCGGCCATATAAAGCCAAAAGACCACGAGGAAGACCGCAAATGCGACGGAGCGACGATATTAAAAGAACTGCAGGGCCACTGTGGAACCGTCTTATAAACAACAGAGATGAATGGGGAGAATTAGGAGGGGCCTATATTCGGTAAACCGAATTGAAAAAAACCAATAAATCTATTTGGATATTTACACTATCCACATATATGTCAGTGTAAGATTATTCATACCGTTACCTTTGGAACAGCACGAGCCAAATCATGCACGAACATTTAAACATAACTTATATCGAGAAAGTCATAACATAGAGAAGTAAAGATGAACAAAGATTTGAACATACACCTATTTTAAATTTTACGTCAATATAATAATATATTTTGATTGATTATAAGTGTTTTATTAAAAGAAACAATCTCTTAATCTAACTTATCTCTTAATTTATGCTATTAAAATTTAATAAATATATAATGTACTTAATAAGAATCAATCGGTGGCAGAAATCAATAGATAAATTACGATTTTAAATTATTTTAAGAGGATTTCAGTAAAATATAGATATAAAATAATGATATAAACGAAACAGTTTTTAAACACATAATTATATTAATGTTAGGTTAGGTTAGGTTAGGTTCAATATGAGCATAGGCATATAATACTAGACTTCGCTCTGTAATCTAAACCTGTTTCTTCGGTGGCAGGAGAGAGAATGAGGGATTCTCTCTCCTGCTGTCACCTAATATGTATCTTCTTCAATTTTATAATAATTTTTAAACTATTTGTCCTTTGTCTCGTGTTGTGTAAATGTATTAGTTAATGTTTATGACATTCACCATATATTGTTCTTCTTCTTCAAGTGCCCTGTCCATTGCGAACGTTGGCTATTAACATGGCAATTCTCATCTTGTTTGCGGTGCTTCTGAATAGTTCGACCAATGTGAGCCCGAACCACTTCCGCAGATTTTAGAGCCACGAGTATCTTCTCCTGCCGGGCCCTCGCTTACTGTCTATTTTCCTCTGGACAATCAATTGCAGTAGACGGTACTTATCGTGTCTCAATATGTAGCCTAGATATTTAAGCTTTCTTTGTTTAATTGTGCTCACGATGTCTTTTTCCTTTCCGATTCCTTGGATTACCTCTATGTTGGGGACATGTTCGTTCCAGGATATACGAAGAATGCGTCGGTACATCTACATTTCGACTACTTCTAGTTTTCTCGTGAGCGTCTCTGTCAGCGTCCAGGCCTCCACACCATACAGTAAGATCGGAAAATGTAGCATTTAACTAGACGTAGTTTTAGGGGGAGAGACAAATCCTTGCTTATTCTAGCTCGTTCTATTCTCGCCTTAATTTCTGTAGCCTGTTCTCATTTGGTTTCTTCGGGATTGTAATAAATGTTGACTGCAGCCAGTTCTCCCGGATTTTACCGCTATTATATATCTTGTTAAAATGTACAACTAGATTATCAAGGAACTATTTGTCTGATTTACATAGGATCTTTAATATTTCGCTGGGTACATTGTCCGGACCTGCTGAATATACTGTTAAATTTTGACGAAATGCCCCTGAAGATACTCTAGGAGCGAAAGTACTTAGACAAGATTTAATAAAAACTGTGCTCGATATCTGCCTTTTTATATGATTAAACTTTTCTACTTAAGCTATAGTTAAGTAATATACCAACAATATATTGCAAAATTTATTCCATTCACATTCCACATCAACAGCACACAGCAATAATAAAATTTAAAAAACCCTTCTTCCGAATATCTGCTTTTCATATTCCAGGTACCAAATGTTGAAAAAACATATAGGGCCTTTTATAAAAATCTTTAGTCCACTACCACTAAAATCAGATATCTGTATAGTTGGTTGCCTACCTGTATTCACAACTTTTACCAAACTTTAGTTCGCCTACATTAATAGACAATTTTACAAATTTGTCAACGTAATTTTAGAATAAAATCATACTTCAATCATAATTACAACATATTTATGTTTGCTACTGTTATTATTAAGCAAATTTTAATATATTTAACAAATGGAAAGGGCTGAGGGAGACCTATGTCCAGCAAAGGACGCATACAGGTTATTGATGATGATGAGACACATACCTCCGGTTACATTGACTGCTTTGTTCAGACTTCCGTTCTAACATGTCATTTCAATCAGTTGCCATCAACAAGTCCTGTTGACACTTTGTCTCAGGACTAGCAACCTCTAGTGAAGTCTTACATTGCCATGTTATCTATTCTTGTTGTAACTTAAACATCATAGTTTATAAATTAAAAAAATGCAACTTAAAGTTAATTTAACAACATTTAAAGGGTTTTTAGCCATATATTTAGTAGCTTCAAACATGTACATCCAGTAAATATTAATCACACTTTTTGTAATAACCTTGGTCACAATTTTAACTTTCATGTTTGATTTAATTAAAGTGTTTATACTTTTAGGATAGCACCAATGATGGAATATTAATTCCAAAAACGTTCTGTGATGTAGTCCGATAGGGTTTTTAGTAATATACCCTTTATAAGATAATTTTTAAATAAATTTTTTGTGATACATGGTATACAGCCAACTACAGAAATTTAGATTCTTTGTGGATTTTAATCTGCTCGTTAATCATTGTTTTTACCGAGACAATTTTTTTAGGTGCCCCTTCAGAGCGCATGGGTGTTGTAGGTGGTCGCAATGCAACGAAGGGAGAACTACCGTACATAACCTCCTATGAAGAATACCAAGGCAATGATAGAGATCATATATGTGGAGCTTCTATCATAACAAAGAGTTGGGTTATTACTGCTGCACATTGTCTACAATATATGCCAAAAGAGGGAAGTTGGGTAATTTGACAAAGATAATTAAATAACTTCCAATATCTTAACAATATACAAACATTTCAGATACATGCAGGTATAATCGATGTAAATGATACTGACGCACAAAGAAGACAAGTAGTTAAAACGGTTATACATGGTTATTTTGCGTAAGTTTTGTTCATACTACATAATTCTTAACTGATTATAATTTAATCATCGCTAAAATGTTTTAAGGCAGGCAATAACTAATTGGAAGATTTTTAACTCTTCAATGTTCATTGGATTTTTAATGAATTTTATTTTGTGAATGTTTTTTTGATCGGAACGGAAGGGTATTCATATATCTAATAAGTAAAAATGACGTTTGGTATCGATAATTTGAGAAAAATTTGCAAAGGTTTTTTAATAAAAAATCCGCCAAAACATAAAATCTATATATATTTTTTAAATATCTACAATACTAAACTACTGTCTTCTTCTTCTTCTTTGTCTGTCGGCTGCTGCACGAAATAATTCTTCTACTGTGGAACCACACCATTGTCTAATATTAGGCAGTCATGAAAGTTCCTTTTGACCAATCCATCTCTTTCCTTCTACTTTTCCTTGTATTATAAGGCGAAGTAGATAGTATTTAGGTCCTCTAATTATATGGCCGAAGTATTCTGTTTTTCTCCTCTTTATGGTGTTTATGAGAAGACGTTCTGAATTGATCATCTAAAGAACATCTTCATTGGAAATGTGCGAAACCCACGATATCTTTAGGATTCGTCTATAATACCACAATTCGAATGCTTCTAACTTGTTTAGCATTGTGGTTTTTAACGTCCGTGTTTCACAACCATACAATAGGATGGAGCACACATAACATTTCAGGACCTCCTTATTAATATTCATCGACAGGTTTCTGTTGCATAAAACTGGTTTCCAGGTCATAAAAGCCTTACGTTATATTTTAATCCTTGTTATTATCTTTTCATCAGAGTTACAATTTACATTTAACCAGCTGCCAAGGTATTTGAAATGATTTACCTTTCGATCTCTTCTCCATTAAGAGAAATCAGACCGTGATCTATATTGATCTTTCCAACTGCCATCCACTTTGTCTTTGAAATGTTTATTTTAAGGCCTCTCCGATAGCTTGATTCACTGACTAGATTTAATAATGTTTGGAGATCTTGTAAATTTTCTGCAAGAATGGTTGTATCGTCAGCGTATCTAATATTGGTGATTACTTCTCCACCTAGTCTTACTCCCTCTTGTCTGTCATCCAGAGCCTCTCTAAAGATTTCTTCGGAGTACAGATTAAAAAGAGTAGGTGACAAAACACAACCCTGCCGTACTCCACGTTTGATGGATAGTTCTTCAGTCGGACTGTCTCCAATTTGGATAGAGGCTACTTGATTGTAATATAAGTATTTCAGCAGTCTTATATCATAGTGGTCAAGTCCTGCTGCCCGTTGGTAATAGAAAAGTATATCGTGTTGTACTCTGTCGAACGTCTTCTCGAAGTCGATGAAACAAACATAAACATTATTTCGGAATTCACAACTTTTTTGTAATAGAACGCGCATACAGAATAGTGCTTCTCTAGTTCCTAGACCGTTTCTAAATCCAAATTGCTTATCACACATCCTACTTTCGCATATAAGGAATACTCGGTTTTGTATAATTCGTAAGAGTATCTTCAGTGTGTGACTCATCAAACTGATTAGTCTAAAATCGCTGCATTTGGTGGGCCTGCTTTTAATTGGTAATGTTATAAACAGTGATTCTAACCAATCATCTGGTATTTTTCCTTCGTTGTAAATTTTGTTGAAAAAAGTGGTTAAGCAGGCAGTGCTTTCCTCATCCAAAAGTTTAAGTAGCTCAGCAGGGATTTGATTTGGTCCAGGTGCTTTATTGTTTTTGGCTTGCTGTATTGCCTTTTTGACTTCGAATTCAGTATGTTGGGACCTCTGTCTAACTGGTTGTCACAGGCAGTATTTGGAGCATTTTCTCTAGAAGCATCGTCAAAAAGTTCAGTGATGTATCTCTCCCATTCTTTGCACTATTATTCGTGATCACAAATTTTTCCGTCCGCGCTTTTAAGTATGTGAACATATTTCTGTTTTCTTATTCCGGCAGTATGTTTAAGTTTCTTGTGGAGGTTGAAACTGTCATGCTTTTTTTGGAGGTCTTCTATTTCTTTACATAAATTCTCAAGCCAGGATTCTTTGGCTTATTTAATTTTTCTTTTTATGCGTTTATTGATTTCACGGTTTTCGAAAATATTCTATTTTTGTGTTGCCGTCGAACTTCCATCAGGTCTAGAATTTCTTGTGTCATCCACTCATTTTTTGCCAACATGGTAGCTGTTTTCAGACTCTTGTACGTTCTCTAAAATCGAGTTTTGAATATCATACCAGCATTCGTTAATGGTTCTGTTTTCGTTTGGTATATTTGATATTCTGTGTATCTTACTATTTATCTGCTGTGATATGTGTTCGCGCGTTTGAGGGTTTTTCAGGGGGTCGAGATATATCTTACAAGACTTAGTTGACTTTGTTAATTTCTTTAATTTAATTTGTATTTTGGAGCAGAGTAAATTGTGATTTGAGTTTATGTCAGCGCCGGGGTAAGTTTTTACATCTTTAATATTGTTTCGAAATCGGTGGTTTATTAGGATATAGTCGTATATAAGTTGAAACCAGGTATTTGTAATGGCGAAGTCATTTTCTTGGCAGAATTCTCTTAGACGTTCACCTCTTTGATTTCTCTCTCCCAATCCAAACTTTCCGGTGGTACTCTGCGTCATCTTCTGTCCAGCTTTAGCGTTAAAGTCACCCATAATTAAAATGAGAAAATTACCCACCCATTTAATCACCCATAATTATTATTGTTTCGTGTTTCTTTGTTATTTTTAGCACTTTTTCTATTTGATGGTAGAATTCTTCAATATTCTGCTTATCTGCGTCAGTAGTGGGAGCATAAACTTGGATGATATTTATATTTACAGGTTTAGCATTCAGCTGTATTAAAATTACTCTGTCTGATATTGGGGTGAATTTAGTGACATACTTATTAATATGTTGTTTGATAATTATTGCTACTCCATTAAAAATAAACGGCGTGACCATTTGCAATGAAATTCCCTTTGTTTGGCCTTCTTTTTTCATTCGCCCCCATGATAGTAATGTTTAGTCTTTCCATTTCAGAGAGTCGAGTTCTCAGCTTACCGGCTTCATATAAGGTTGTTACATTCCATGTAGCCACTTTATATGGATTCTTCATTTTCATCGTATGTCTAGTGATGTTTTGCTCACAGGGATTTCGCTGGCTAGCGACCTGGGAAGCCCTGTGGTTTGATTGTGTATTCCTTCCCCTGCCGGATCTTGAGTTCCGCAGTCCGTGATCAGTAATATTCGTTACACTCATTGATTCCATGATAACTTTACTAGGGACCATAATGGGGTGGTTTCCCGTTGCCTTCCCCATCGCAGTGTCACAGCCGGTTAACTCATAATGTGAGTGACGCCTGTGAGTATCTGGAATTAAGCCTACAGGATTTTTACTTCCCACAGTCTTAATCCAGTAATGACATTACGGCTGCCTAATGTCATATCCTCAGTTGATCCGCGGGTACTTATTTGGCAATGCCTTATTCGTACATGTCCTGCATATCTGCAGGAACTTTCCTTATCAGCCATATGGGACGTGCCGTGTCAAGGTTGAGGACATCCCCCGCCCAGTCTGTCTTCCTTCTGTCTACAGAAGAGCCTTTACTCAGTTCAGAGCTCCTTCTTCACGAAAGCTGAGACCGGACACGGAAAAAAAACTACTGTCTAGGTATGTACAATCTCAGCTACAGTACACTCAACCAACTTACACCTCTAAACGATTAACGGAATTCGCAGAAAACCTTTCGTTGTAGTAAAAGGCACGGTAAACTGCACTGGAGTTCTCCATAAACTTTTTAATTACTTATTTCGTTAAATTATTTTATCCTGTATTATCAGATAGAGTTAATTTGTATAAAATAAGGAGCAAAAATTCAAATGAAATTTTAAATATTATTGTGTATTTTTCTAATAATGAATGTATAAATATGATGTTTAACCTGCGATCCAATTATTTTGTAAATATCATTATAACAATGTACTTACTGATTATTTCAATTTATAATTCATCATTATCGTCACTAAATTCACTACCGCTATCATTATTGTTCTGTATCTAACTTAAGAGGTCGCTGGTTAAATGATATTAGATAAATATTAATAAAGAAAATGCAATATGTTTGTAAATAAATAAGCGGAAAATAGCGAATATTTGTAGCAACTATATGTAAAATAAAATGTTGTAATTCAAATAACAATTGGCAGATTTAATAACTTATTGTCAACTATATATGAGATTAACTTACCTTTTGTCTGTGGTTGGGCCCCGCTCGGAGTCTAAGGTCTAAGACTAAGATATAATAATAATAATAGAAATGAAGAAAAATATAGTTGTTAACAAATAGGTAGTGGACAGATCTTGACCACCGGACGTTGTAGGATGCCATCTGAGGCTGTCCTCAGACTAACAACGCGTACACTACCGTCGGTGCCGTAATGTAAATCAATGATTCTGGCCAACTGCCAGCGAAGAGGAGGCTGTTGTTCATTTTTTATGAGGACTAGAGGACCTTTAATGAGAGATGGGGTTAGACTATGCCATTTAGATCGCTCTTGAAGAGAATGAATATACTCTTTAGACCATCTTTTCCAATAGTCCCCCCTATCCTTTAAATTAACTGCCAACGATTCAGACGGTTAATCTTTAAAGCGCTTAGATCTGGATCGGGAATTGAATCCACTAAGGGTTCAAAAATCAAAAACTGATCAGGAGTCAGTGCCTGCAAGTCATTAGGGTCAGAGCTTGCTGCACACAAAGAACGAGAGTTAAGAACTGCCTTAATTTGAGTCATAAGAGATATGGTTCTTGAATGATTTGACCCCAGCCTCGGCTAACCCATTAAAATGAGGGGCAAAGTGCGGATTAAAATCCCAGGTAATAGAAAGAGTATCAGCAGCAGATTGAGCTATTTTAACGATTTTGTTGCTGGCTCCCTTAAAATTGATACCTTGATCACTCCTAATGGTTAGGCACTTACCGCGTCGAGATACAAATCTACGAAAGGCAGCCAAAAAGGACTCAGAACTAAGATTTGAAGTTACTTCCAGATGAATGGCCTTTGTACTCGTACACACGAATACACAAACATATCCTTTGTATGTTTTTGCACCTCTATGTTTGGAAATTAACAACGAGAATGGTCCTGCAAAATCCACACAAACAGACAGGAAAGCACGTAACGGAGTAACTCGGAAAGTTGGCAAGTTTGCCATAACGGGGTTGTAAGATTTAGGTCGGCATCTAAAACAACGAATGCACTTCGACAAACAGCGATGAATGGCACTTTTCGAAGACAGAATCCAAAAGCGCTGAAGCAACAAATAATGCATAGCCTTTAAACCAGGGTGCAGATGCGTTTGATGAGTCCATTCGATGATTAAATCGGTCAGACGATGAGTTTTGGGTAATAGCAATGGATGTTTTACATAAAAAGGCAACTGAGACTTTTGTAATCGACCTCCTACTCTCAAAAGACCATTTCATCAATAAAGGGTGCGAGTTTACGAAAAGGTTTTGAGTAACAGCGAATTTTGTTGAATTTTGAGAAAAATATCCGAAAAAACGTCAGCTTGTACGTACTTAACAATGTATCGTAACTCAGATTCCATTTCTAAATGACTGTTCAGGGAATCTGAAGAGGCAGCATTGTTTTTTCTTTGAAGATTAGCCACGAATTTTAAGACGTAAACCATGACTTTATAAAGGACTTTCTATTTATCAGGGACGAATTTTGAAAATAAAGTAGAGATAATATTATCTGAAATGACCGGTATCAATAATAATACAGTGGGCAATTTTTCTTCTAACATTTCCGTGGGGTGGGAGGTGTGAAAATTAACTTCACAACAGGGGACAAGAAACAAGGGAGAGGGCCAACACTCCCTTGACTTTGAAAGAAAATCAGGACCGCGCCACCAGAGTGAAAATTGTAGTAGTTGCCGGTGTCAAACCACGACTAGCACAATCAGCAGGGTTTTGATTAGATGGCACGTAATACCAAGAAGAACATGGTATAAGTTCTTGTATCTGTCTTACCCGATTGGCAATAAAGGTTTTCCATTTATGCGAAGAAGAATTAACCTAAGAGCAATCGTGGAATCCGACCAAACATGAATATCGGAAAAAAATATATGCTTAAACGACTCGTTAATGAAGGCGACTAGATCCGCCAGCAATACAGCTGCCAACAGTTCCAATCTTGCAATAGATTGTGTCTTCAGAGGAGACACTCAACATTTAGCATACACAAGCACAGTCGCAAATGTGTCAGAAGTACTAAATCGGAAATATACAACGCTGGCGTATCCTAACTCTGAAGCATCGCAGAATCCATGAATCTCAACTTTAGAAGATTTAATAAAGTCGAAGTGTCGAGGTATTTGAATGTTCGAATTTTAAACTGATGCCATACCTGTTGTATTTGTTCAGGTGGTTCATCATCCCAAGATACATTGGATTGCCACAACTGTTGAAGCAGACGTTTGGCCCTTAAGACACGGGAGATAAAACCAAGAGGATCAAAAATACGTCTGATTTCCCGCTTTGTACAAGTATAGCCCGCTTTGTACAAGTTTTGTCAAGGGGACAGTAAGAATAAGAAAAGCCGTCAGTCGACGGGTCCCATTTCAGGCCTAGCACCTTAATAACGGTAGGTTCCTTTTTGTCAAACGAACAAGATGTTAGAATATCGAAACCAAAATCTTGGAGTAGACTGGAATGGTTGCTGGCCCATTTGCCTAGCTGAAAACCACCGAGCATTAAAAGTTGAATGAGCTCTAACTGTAGAGAGCGAGTAGATGACAGAAAATCACTTCCTAATAGACCGTCGTCAATCTAAAAATGTCACGTTAAAGCTTGTGAAGCATTAGGGAAACGAGACTCTGCCGACTCAGCTAACTCTTGTAAAGTTTTTAATGCGATATAAGGTGAAGAAGAAACACCGTAAGTAACAGTACGTAAAAAGTACTTTTGAAGAGGATTTGGAGGATCCGACCTCCAGAGAATTCTTTGATAATTCCAAAATTCTTCGAAATAAAATTAGGCGACAGGAACGAAATATTCTGCGTTAATTGCCTCTAGTAAGGAATACTGTAAATAACGCAAAAACTTAATATGAATGCTAAAGCTGTTTCGTGTCAGAAGAACTTTCAGATATAATTTTAAATTATACAAATATATAGACTTTATTTCAGGTAGATTTTCCAGAGAAGGATATGCTTAACAAGTCGACAAAATAGAATATTCTTGGGCCTTTTGTATTTAACTGGCTTACACCGCAGTTATCGACTAAACTTGGAAGATTTATGGGCAACAGATGGTAATGAAATTGAATTATTTAGACTTATGATGTCAATGTGAAGATTCACATTTATTCACCACTGTATGAGATTCGATGCCAAGACGATTCAACCAGATCGACTAAAGTTTGATAAGTTGTCAGCCGTTAGACAAATCTTTTCACTATTTGTAGAAAATTGCAAAAATGGATACTCTATGGAAAAAACGTAACGAGATGTTGGCAAGCTTTGGGGGCATATGCGGATTTAGGCAATGTATTGCATCAAAACCTAACAATTATGGGATTAAAATTTTTTCGATGGTTGATTCTATGCTATTTTGCACAGGCAATATAGAAATTTATACAGGACTGCAACGTGAACGTCCATTTCGCGTCAGCAATAATCCAGTAGGTAGATGTGGTCAAGAGATTGGCTGAACCTATCTATGATTCAGGACGAACTATAACTGTTAATAATTGATTCACCGATCCAACTCTCGTCAGCGATTTGAAAAAGAGCAGACTATCATATTATTATGTAGAGCAGTCAGAAGAAGCAAATGTCAACTGCCACCTGAATTATTGAGTACGGCAAACAGACCAATACAATTTAACTTTTTTGCTTTTGGTGAAGATTGTACTCTTGTATAGCATGTGCTGAAAAAGGGAAAAAACGTAATTTTTGGTATCTAGTATGCACTTCGATGACGTAGAAAGTTCAAAGCACATGGTGGTCGTGTGTATTAAGGTATAAAAAAATGCTTATTAAAAGCTTAAAACTTTTATTTTAAAGAAGATCTTTTCGGAATAAACTCACTCCATCATCAATTTTAATAAAAAGTTGTCAAAAAAACATTGTATGGCCACATGAAAAAATAGTAGAGAACTCCGTATTAAAAAACTATCCTCAAGGTGTTTATGAAGGTAAATGCAATAGACTTGATTTTAGACTGCAGATTACTAAAAATTGAAAATGGGGGCATCTTACATGACCCCCTGTAGTTGGTGAGGTTTTATTGACTTACATTACCTCTGATCTGTGCTGGAGTCTAGGGCTAACTGATAGTAAGTTCAGATACGCAAAAGCCAGAGATAATCAATTATTATAATCAGACGAAATCAGGGGTTGACACTGTGTAGACCAAACGGTTGGTTCGTATAATGTAGCCCATCGAGCAAAAAGATAAAAGAGGGAATGTAAAGGTAGTGGGGACAACAATATTGTTAGACAGGAAGTGCCATCTTGAGAGGCCACTTTAAACAAGGAAAGACAGTCTCTTTCCTTGTTTAAGAAGTCAAATTTAGTTTGGTTATGTTATTGTTTGTCCCAACTGTCACATGAAATTTTATTTATATTGAAGTTTTTTACCAGTTATGTCACTCTTTAGACTATTATCGTTAATATTTAATTAAAACTTTCTTGTCTGAAAAATATTTTACAGGTATTGTTAACAAGTGTTGGAAAATTTAAATTTAGCGCCTTTGCATTTCCGGATATGTCCGCCATCAGAGGCCACTTTTTGGTCTCCTTTCATAACGATTAGATTCCCTCTTTTATCTTTTTGCTCGATGATGTAGCCATAAACAGCAGAAAGTGGACTATGTGATATTTTACGTCGTCTTGAAAGTTGCTGGGATCAACGCACAGTCCATTCACATGCTAAATCAGAATTCAAAAATACAACGTAGACCATATTCTAAACCTCTTAAGTTATTGTCAGAGCAAATAAAACGGTGATCAGATATTACTACAGCTATTCACAGACCATTGCAGCTTCAGCTTCAGAAACATAAGGAGGAAAGTTCAACCTGCGGGGCAGATCCAAATGTTGCTAAAACTAACAATAAAAGAAAAAGGTTTTTTTCTTGCTATGCGAAAAAGACAACGCGATTGTCCAAATGATTGTAAATGTTGTTTGTTATAACCGTTTTACTAATCCTTCCGCTGATGAATCTAAATCTAATTAGGTGTTTGGGTTATTTTTGCCTTAGATTAGTAATAATGATAATAGTTATGTTTTTATTTTCTTATGTTCTTAATACTGCATTTATTTTATTTTCTTTTGACAATAAATTAATTTAAATCCACTTAATTTTTGATTAGTTATGTTCAATATAAACGTTTCTTTCGATCTCGATCAGTACCCAAAACTTAAACGAATGTATCTCTGAGATCCATCGCGACCTATACAGTACACTTTATGACCGCGACATCCGAAGGGTTAATTAGGAATCCAATCCAGTGTGTGTGTGTGTGTGTTTGTGTGTATTGATGTGTGATATTTGTAGTTTCCTGGGTTTGACTGCACTTTAAATACCTCGGGTTTTTATAAAAACTGTTGTTTTGACAACGTTACAGCCAGATTACACTTGGCATTGTCAAATGAGTTCTACTTCTTCTACATGTTCGAAGAGACATTTGAGAGAGAACTAAGAAAATGACTTTATAAATTTTTATTAATAATTTATATCACCTCATTTATTTATCTGCAATTTAGACAATTCGGTGGAGACATCGCTCTTATAAAAGTAGACCCACCTTTTGAATTTAACGATTTGGTTCAGCCAATAAAAGTACCCAAACAAGATGCTGAAGTTTCATCAGGTACTGCAATTCTATCCGGATGGGGATTACACAGTTTTATGATGTCTACTGATTGGAGCTCTATGTTGCAGACCGTTGAGCTTCCCATTGTACCGTACGAAGGTAAGAAAAGTTGTTTATAATTTTATGAAATTTATTCATATTATAGGATGAGTAGGTGATTTGTATACAGGGTGGTGAATCGGCAAACGGGCCATAGGAAACTCAATGGTAAATTCCAGATTGTTGAATTCCTGCTTCCCTAATTATTTTACACCAAAAGTCAATGGAAACTATTTGTAGAGGACTCAAATATGTATCGAAAACAACTGTTAAAATTATTCTATGACTTAAACGTATTCCAAAATTTTGCTAAAATATAATACATTTTTCTGTGAAAAAATGTGTATTACGTGTTGCGTTTTGTCATATTATTGTTTCTGATATTTGACCATATTTAAATCAATTATATTATATTTATCTATGATTTAAATGGCCAAAATTTTGTGATTTATTGTTTAAAAAAAATTAAGTTGATTAAAAAATGTACTCAGTCGAGGAGAAAAAAGCAATAATAAAAATGTTTTATTCATGTTTTATTATAACATTTGTTATAGTTTTATGTTTAGAAATAATCATATATTATTATTAGGAATAAAGATCACAGTAACAGTATATTGGAATTCATTGAATTGTTGTATAACTTAACATGGAGTTAAATTTTAGTGAATTAGAATATCTTACGTTAAATAAAGATCCGGTAGTGGCAGGAAAAGGTTCGCGCTATTGCCTGAATTCAGCATCATGCGATTTTTCGTCAACTGAGTACATTTCATTATATTGATCGATTTGTAAACAATATAATTTATTGTTCACAAAGTAATAATGTTCAGTAGTAGTAGTATTTAGTAAAATTCATTGTTTATAATTTAATTATAAAATAAAAAAATTGACAATTCAAATTGTCAAACATCTGACATTAATATAATAAAACACAAACGTCCTATGATATAATATATTCTTGCATTACGTGTGGCCTAACTTTTAGGGGTGGTCTGAAAAATGTATCACATTTTTTCAAAATTTTGAAGTACATTTGATTCGTAGAACGGTTTTAACATTTGTTTTTAATTCAGATTTTAGTCCTCTACAAATAGTTTTTTATGACTTTTTATCTAAAATAATTAGGGAAGCAGCAATTCAACAATTTAAAATTTCTCATTGAGTTTCCTATGGCCCGTTTGACGATTCACCACCTTGTATAAGCTGTACACACTGTACATACAAATATACACGATGTTGAAGTTAAAAATTTGTTTTCTTTTTGATAATAAGTTTTACTCTATTTTTATACATTGTAATCCAAATTAGCAAGAAGGCATATTTGTATGTATTTATAATTCAATTTCTATTGATTCATTTTAATTTAGAAAATATAGTCTTCTCTGCCATTGGTTTTCAGTTTCGTTCTACTTCCGTGGTTTTCAGTATCTAATCATCCAAAAGAATGGAATGGACTTTAGTACACATTCTATTACTTGGACCATTATATTTTCTACACTATTGTTCAAATAGACACAGAAAAAATTTTTTTTCATATTTTTATTAATTCAAAAATTTTTAAATTGTAATAAACAGCAAAAGTTTTGTACCACATATTAATTTTCTTGTGAACGGATGTTTTGTTAACTGTTGTTATCTTTTATTGTTAATTTAGTATTGCTTCAGTTACAACACATGTTAAGGAACAAAACCGTATATTTTTTTTGAAACTACTTCAAATAACACACATATAAAAAAAACAAAGAATACAATTAGATTAGTCCCGAGGAAACCAAAAAAAGTATTTATACGATTGTGGTCACTATGTTCACTTAGAATGTCTTTTATTGTTGTAGATAACTGTTCATATTGCCTTTCAAATGTCTTTAAAGGACACTCCACTAATAAGTGATGTACTGGTAGATCACTATTACACGCGTAACACAAAGGTTTGGGTTGCTTCTGTAGTTCTGTAGTAGTAAAATCATGAGTGATCTGGGTGTGTACTAATCGTAGTCTGGACCTGAAGATGATAACTTGATCTCTTCTTTTCATATGTAGCCTCCATTATAAGACAATTTATTTTTTGATCTAAGGTTAAATTTGACAAGAAAGACCTTAAAATCATGAAGAATCTTTATATGAATCAAGTGGCATCTGTCATATTAGGACTGGAATCTACATCATATTTCTCAATCGAAAAAGGTATACGACAGGGTTGTGTTCTGTCACCCCTCCTTTTTAATCTTTACTCTGAAAAGATTTTCGATAGAGCCTTAAGTGACACTGAAGATGAAATCAAAATCAACTGCCAGACTATTAGTAATCTTCGCTATGCTGATGATTCAGACATAATAGATGATGCAAAAAGCGTTACAACGACTGATAAATAGAATAAACACTGAAGGAGAACGACTGGGCTTGAAGATTGATATAGACGAAGTTTATGGTGGTTAGTAGAACACGAAATATGCATTTAAATATAAGAGTAAACAATAAGAGCATCCAAAAGGTCCCCAAATTCAGATATCTCGGCTGTTGGATAAGCAGGATTGAGCAAGCCAGAACAGCATTTACTAATATGAAAACCTTGCTAAACAAGAGTAGCCTTAACTTAACGCTTCGATACCGCTTTGTAAAATGTTACATTTACTCCATACTGCTATATAGTGTAGAAACCTGGACAATAAAGCCCAATGTGATGAACCGATTGGAGGCCTTTGAACTGTGAGTATTTAGAAGACTACTTAAAACTCCTTGGACAGATCACACAACAAATGTCGAAGTATTAAACCGAATGGGCAGAGAACGAAAATTGCTGCCAATAATAATAGGAAGAAAAACTGCTTATCTGGGACGTATATTTCGAAATTTCAAGTCTTCTTCTTCAGGTTCCTTCTCCTATCTTCTTCTTCTTCTTTAAGTGCCGTCTCCTTTAAGAAGGTTGGCTATCATCACGGCTATCTTCACCTTTGACACTGCTGCTCTAAACAGCTCAACAGAGTTACAATTGTACCACTGCCTCAAATTGTTTAGCCAGGATACACGTCGTCGGCCTATGCTTCTTCTGCCCAGTATCTTTCCCTGTATAATGATCTGCAGCAACTCATATCTCTCACCTCTCATGACATGACCCAGATACTGCAATTTTCTTATTTTAATTGTATTTAATATCTCCTTTTCCTTGTTCATTCTTTTTAAAACGTCGTTGTTCGTAACCTTATCGATCCAACTTATTTTTAAAATTCTTCTATAAGCCCACATCTCAAACGCTTCTATTCTGTTACTTATATCTTTTTTAAGCGTCCAAGCCTCCATTCCATATAATAACACAGAAAATACATAACATCTAAGCATTCGTACTTTAAGTTGCAGACTCAGATCATTGCTGCAAAGTACTTTTCTCATAGTATTGAATGTTGATCGGGCTTTTCCTATACGTGATTTGATTTCCTGTGTGTAATCGTTGTTTTCGGTTATGATTGTTCCCAAGTATGTATATCTGTTCACCTTTTGAACGAGTTCGTCCCTAATCCATAACGTGTCCTGTTGTTGTGTCTTTGCGATGGTCATGAATTTCGTCTTTTTGATATTTAAAGTAAGTCCAGCCTCTTCGCTACTGTCTACAATCTTATTTATCAGAACCTGCAATTCTTCAACTGACTCTGCGATTACTAAAGTATCATCGGCGTATCTGATGTTATTTATAAGTTCTCCGTTGACTTTAATTCCACTTGATGTTTCCTTTAGTGCCTTCTGAACTACCTCTTCTGAGTAGAGGTTAAAAAGCAGCGGAGACAATATGCATCCCTGCCTTACCCCTCGTTGTATTTCTATTTCTTCTGATAGTTCGTTGCCAACCTTTACAGATGCAACTTGATTAAAGTAAAGGTATGATATTATTCTAATGTTGGAGGTTAATATTATTCTTCTCCTATCGGAGGTTGGAAATCATCATCGCTATTTTAATTTTATTGGCCGCGCTTCTGAATAATTCTAATGAGCTGCAACCGAACCACTCTCTCAAATTTCTTAGCCAGGATATTTTGCGCCGTCCTGGGTTTCTCTTCCCTTGCATAATTAACCTAAGTAATATATACTTCTCGCCCCTCATTATATAAACCAGATATTGAACCTTTCTTCTTCCTTCCAGTATGTAGGCTTTAAAGCATGTTTCTTCTTTAATATTAGCCTCCTAAATTGCTTAAATTACTGCATCATCTTTTTCTTGGTCTGACAATACTTCTTCGTCCATTTGGTGACTTATCTCGTGCTATTCGTACTATTCTATCCTCTGCCATTCTACAAATGTGTTCTTTGCACTCCTGTTTTCGTTTTGTCACCCATACATTTATGTCTTCTATATTGCATGCTCTTCTTATGTTTTCGCTTCTCTCCCTATCCAATAGACTTCTCCCTGATATTCGTCGGAGTATTTTCATCTCTGTTGTTTCTAGTAGTCATTTAGTTTTAGATTTGTCAGGTCTTGTCTCCGCCGTGTATGTTAATATAGGTCTAATTGCTGCTTTATAGATTCTTGTTTTTGTGTTTTGTCTTAGGTGTTTGTTCTTCCAGATTGTGTCATTAAGAGAACCCGTCGCTTTACTTGCTTTTAAGCTTTGTTGTACTTCTTCTTCACCATCTCCGTAACTAGTTATATCTATTCCCAGATATCTAAACCTTGCTTGCTGCTTTAGTATTTTTCCATCAATTTCTATTTTACACCGTAGTGGGTATTTAGATGTTGTCATACATTTGGTTTTGTCTGCTGATATTATCATATTGTATTTCTTAGCTGTTGTATTGAAGATATGTGTTAATCTTTGGAGCTCATCTTCTGTCTCAGCGAATAATGCGGCGTCGTCTGCATAACATAATATTTGGATTTCTTTGTTCCCCATTCTGTAGCCATGACCTTTACGTACTGCTTGTATTATTTCGTCCATTATTATAGTAAAGAGAAGTGGGCTCAACGAGTCACCCTGTCTGACTCCGCTTTGTACTGGTATACACTGTGTTAGTTTTCCATTTATCTTTGCCTGTATTCGATTTTGGAGATAGATGTTCTCGATGGTTTGTAT